CTTAACGAAATTTTATGTACCAGTGACTGCCCTAAGCACATCATATATATTTTATTCTTTAATACTCACAATAATATCTACCAATGCTGCTATAACCCTGATTTTACAGATGAGGAACATGAAGCAGTATGAGAATGGCAGGGGTAGGGAGAAACAGGGCTGGAACCACCCTCTTCCCTTAACTCGTGTGTCCTTGGGCAATTCACTTGTTCATCCTTTGCAAAGGGAGCGGCCAGCCTCTGGGTAATTTCTGCCCTCTAACGTTAGGTGGCAGTGGCTCTAAGCTAAAACACCCTGCAGCGTCCCCTCTGCCTGTACTATCCGATAAAAAGGAAACAGCTATGTTAGAGGAACTCAGAGGTGAAAGGAATGTCTTTTATTGCTTTATAAACTTCTGGAGTAGGAAGTTTTACTCCTGGTTGACATCCATGTACTACACATAAAAGAAAGGGTTAAACAGTTTGAGGAAGTACACACTAAAGTGGCATGATACTACTTGCATAGAGGTGAGAGACTGCCGTCTGGCGGAGATGTTTCTCTTATTAGTATCTCATTACCTTTCCTTGGTAGCTGGAGAACTGCATGACTTGCTGACTCTAAGGCAGGCGTCCTCAAAGTGTGGCCGGCGGGCCACATGCGGGTGTTTTGGCCCATTTGTTTTTTTACTTCAAAATAAGATATGTGCAGTGTGCATAGGAATTTGTTCATAGTTTTTTTAAAACTATAGTCCGGCCCTCCAACGGTCTGAGGGACAGTGAACTGGCCCCCTGTTTAAAAAGTTTGAGGACTCCTGCTCTAAGGCCTCTTACCTCAAAAGGGCGCGGTTTTAGAAGTGTTTGAAGAAACAAGTCTGAGAGAACTATGACTAAGACACCTCAGGACAATTCGTGTAAATTATTAACTCCAGTTCTAAGTCCTCTGTTATTCCATTAATGGTAGGGAGATCACAGCCAGTGCAAACATCCAGGTGGCGATGGATAGAGCCAGAGAAAAGCCAGAGCCTGCCAATTCAGCTTTGGAATGTTCCAGAAAAGCATTCCTGGGACTCTGATAGTATTTATATACTGGAATGACTTTTATTTCCCTATAAAAGGGATATTTTTATTTTTCTGTTGGCTAGTACCTAACTCAGAACATATAGGCATTAAAAATTAATTCAGTGAATAAATGAAAGAAAAATGTCTTTCCTTTACAAGGAAAACAGATATTTCCCACACACAATCACTTTTTCTTCTAATTTTTTCCTCCAGAAAGAACAAAAAGAAATCATTGCTGGGCGCGGTGGCTCACGCCTGTAATCCTAGCACTGTGGGAGGCCGAGGCGGGCGGATTGCTCAAGGTCAGGAGTTCAAAACCAGCCTGAGCGAGACCCTGTCTCTACCAAAAATAGAAAGAAATTAATTGACCAACTAAAAATATATATACAAAAAATTAGCCGGGCATGGTGGTGCATGCCTGTAGTCCCAGCTACTCAGGAGGCTGAGGCAGTAGGATTGCTGAGCCCAGGAGATTGAGGTTGCTGTGAGCCAGGCTGACCCCACAACACTCACTCTAGCCTGGGCAACAAAGTGATACTCTGTCTCAAAAAAAAAAAAAAAAAAAAAAAGAAAAGAAAGAAAGAAATCATTAAAAAGTCAAAAGCAAAAATGGATAAATTAGACAGCATAAAACAATACATTTGACAGAAAAATCCAAGAGCTGGTTTTCTGAAGAAAATAGACAGTTTGTTTCCAAATGTAACCAAGAAAACAAGGGGAGAATCAATACACATTTTGTTGGGAAAGAGTGAGGAATATGACCACAGTTAATATGTGAGATTTTGGTGAAAAAGAATTTTAATGGACATAAAATAGATAATTTTCTAAGAAAATATAAGTGATCAAAACTAATATAACCAATAAAACTATTAACAGTGTTTTTAAAAATAACTGACTAATTCTAAATTGCATAGGAAAGATAAATAATAAGAGTGAGGGAAAATCTGAAAAATAATTTTAGAGGAGAGCAGTTCTAACAGATATTTAAATATATTTAAAAGCTACTCTTATTAAAATTGTGTGATAGGTACAGACACTTGAATAGAAAGATCAGTGGGCTAAAGTCCAGACCAGACTCAAAGAAAGATGAAAATTTAGTATGAGGCAAGTAACACTTCGAATCATGGAGGAAAGATGTTTTATCTGAATATGTAATGTTAGAAACAAAAAGAATCACAAAGAAATCTTAAACAAAATTGATATTGATAGTAATAATGCTACTATTGTTATGTTGAAGTTATTCCATGTACATAGTAGGAGATATGTGCACATTTACATGTACGATGCAAAACTAGTGAGGATGCAGAGAAGCAGACCCACCAGAAATGACACAGCATAAAGAATTCATAAAGGGATTTGATCGTACACAATAGTTGGAGCTGGCTAACCAGCCTCCGTTCAGCTCTTCATCCATACCTGGCCCTGAGCCTGAAGTCGTAAGGTCACGGTGGGAAGGAAAGATGCATGTGAACTGGGGCAGAGCAGGGAGTCCCTCTGCCCCACCCCATGGCCACCTCTTCTGTGTCTTCACACCCAGCTCAGGATTTGGAGAAGCTGAAGGAAGAGATCCCACAGGAACTGGAGGACTCAGCACCCAGCACTGCCCACAGCCACGGAAGAGCCGGCAGACCACAGATGTGCGATGCGTGGTTCCCCAAGGGCACGGCCTACCTTGGTGTGCGGAGGGTGGCGTGGCTGCTTCTCGACTGCTACCTTTTAAATCGTCACAAAGTTCTCTTGTGTCCAACCCTAACCAGAGATCTACTGGGAAGGGAATTCTGGAAAATATAGTTCTTTTTAGCCAAGTGGACACATTATTAAGCCACCACTATATACACACATGTGTACATGTACACACATAATCTACCTACTTATATATAGAAATAAATATGTTACTTTTATTAGGAACCAAGCTATTTGATGTAACAGGAAAAAGATAACAAATACAAATTTAAGAAATAAAAACCATGAAATACTTAATTTGAAATGAAAAATAAGTGTGAACCCATGATGTATTGTTATATTCCTTTAAAAAAAAAATTAATAGATTTTTCCCAGCTCTAGAAGCTGAAAAGGCCAGGAAGCAATGGCAACACAGTAGTGCTGAGTGTACTGGGGGCATTCATCTGTGGTCTCTAAGCACCATTTTCTACCAAAAGGAGCCAGGGTTTCTTGGAGAATACTGTTTCCAGGGCAGGGAAAAAAACAAAGAGCTTTAATCTCTTATACTAGAAAGCAAGGAAGTTCTCAGAGACTGCCAGATTAATGACAAAAGACATAGAAACTAACTTGAAGGGAAGATTGAAACATAGTGAATATACAAAAACTAATTAGATCATCATAATGGGAAAGGAGAAAGAAGGGGGAAAAACCTCAAGAACAATTCACTGAACCCTGTTAGGAAAAAATGAAAAGATGTTGGAGAATGTGACAGTTAATTTTCTGTATCAACTTTACTGGGCTAAGGGCTGCCCAGATAGCTGGTAAAACATTATTTCGATGTGTCTGTGAGGGTGTTTCTGGAGGAGATCAGCATTTGAATCGTGGACTGAGTGAAGCAGATGACCCTCCCCAGTTGGGGTGGGCCCCATCCAATCTGCTGAGGGCCTGAATAGAACAAAACCAGCAGAAGAAGGGCCAATTTGCTTCCTGTTTGAGCTGGGATGTCCTTCTCCTGCCCTCAGACATTAGCACTCCTGCTTCTTGGGCCTTCAGACTAGGACTAGGATTAGGATTTACACAATTGATACCCCTGGTTACAGGCCTTCAGATCCGAACTGAAATATATCACCAGCTTTCCTGGTTCTCTGCTTGCATAAAGCAGATCGTGAGACTTTTGGGCCTCCATAATTGCACAAGCCAATTCTTATATATGTATTTTGTGGGTTCTGTTTCTCTGGAGAACCCTGACTAATACAGAGAAATATCTCCCCAAAATGGCTTTAGTCTAGACTCTAGGAAATGATGAAAAATGTCACAGCTCATTTTATGAAGGTACCCTAATCCTAATATAAAACATGGGCTGGGTGTGGTGGCTCACACTTGTAATTCTAGCACTTTGGGAGGCTGAGGCTGGAGGGTTTCTTGAGGCCAGGAGTTTAAGACTAGCCTGAGCGAGAGGGAGATCCTGTCTTTACTAAAAATAGAAAAAGCAGCTGAGCATGGTGGCACATGCCTGTAGCCCCAGCTACTCAGGAGGCTGAGTTGAGAGGATCGCTTGAGCCCAGGAGTTTGAGGCTTACATGAGCTCTGATGATGCACCTGCACTCCAGCCCAGGCAACAGAGTGAGAGCCTCTCTCAAACAAAACAAAACAACCTGACAAAAACACAGAAAACTAAACTATAAACACATATGTGTGATAAGAGCAAAGCATTAATAAAATATTGACATGGAATACAGTTACATTAGAAGACGAATACAAAGTGAGTCATCCTTAGAAAACTCTGCCATAGGTGGAAATTATGGAAACAATTCTCCCATGATTTCTTCCTTTTTTTGGTTTCAGTTTTACAAGTAAGGCTTATTTATCCCAGGGTAGAGTGTGAGTTATATATCTAATTTTCCCAATACTATTTTTATTGTGAAACTGTTCAAATATACACAAAAGTAGATTTTGCATGTAGGATAAAATGACGACTTCCTGTCACCCAGCTTTAACAATTACCAATATTTGACCAGTCTTGTTTTATTTATAACTCTGCATACACACTCCTCCCCTTTAACTCAAATATTTTACAGCCACTCCAGGAAACAGAGCATTTCATCAGAAATACTGTGATATGTATCTCTAAGAAAAGAGAATTCTTCTTTTAAAAAAAACATAACCACAATACATTATTTTCTCTTTTAAAGGGGGTTCTTTAATATTACTGAATACAGAGCCAATGTTTAAATATCCCTGATTATCTTCCAAAAGTCTTTTGATGATTGGTTTGTTCAAATCAGAATTCAAACTACATCCAGAAAATGCATTTGATTAATAAGTCTAAAGACTCCTTTAGTCTTTAACCACTTTCCTTTCCTCTCCTTTTTATTCCTGCCATTTATTCATTAAAGACATCTGATAATTTTCCTGTAGAATTTCCCCCATTTGGATTTGGTTGATTAAATTCTTGCTGATTGTTTAATATGCTCCATGTTTCCTGTAAAGCAATGGTAATAAGACCCAGGGCTTTGTTGATACAATGTTCAAGTACAGTTTGGTTGGGGACAAAAGTGCTCCAGGGATGAGGCTGTGTATTTTCTGCTGCATCTCCTGGGGAAGGGACTCCTTGTTTGTTTGACTCTCAGATATGTCACGATTGATTAGTGGTTCTGGTGTTGTCAACCCAACAAGCAGAAAGTTCCCCACCACCTGGGCACCTCCTGGCTTTGGAGGCCAGTCTTTATCATCACCTGCACCTGTTATTTCAGTAGTATTGGCAGGCAACATGGTGATTTCTAATTAACTTTTTGACTCTTTCATTATATAAAGAAGAACTTCTCCCATCAACAGTTTGTTCACTCTGATTTACAATCCACAGGGGTGTCGGGATAAATGCTTGACTCCTTCCCTCCACCTGTCAATTTTGGAAATAAAGAATCAGTGTCCTCGAGGACTTAGGGCTGGCCCATTTCTCATTTTCTATTTCCTGTATCCTCTTCACCTAAGTCAACTTTTATTTACCCTCAGAGAATTCTGTTAGTCTAATCTCTTCCTCCCACATATGCTTTTATAGCACCTACGAGTTCTATAGCAGTTAAGAATATTTTAGTTGCAAATAAGAGAAGCCAATTTAGGACGGCTTAAGAAAAAAATATAATTTATTGGAAAGATATTGGTAACTGCAGAATCTAAGGAAGAATAGCCAAAAAGGGGGTAGTTAGGGCAGCTCTGAGCACCTCGGCAACAGGCATCTGTGAATTCTTAGAGGGTCACTGTTTATGTAACTCAGCCACATTGACCCCGAGAACCTGGAGGCAAGAGCTCAGCCGCTGCACCGTTAGAGAGAACTGTCCCTGCGAGAGGCCACCCTTACTTCTGACACTGATTGCAAGTTTGAGGGGTTCCCAAAACCACTCTCAGTTGTTTTTTGTTTTTTTGTTTTTTGTTTTTTTGAGATAGAGTCTCGCTTTCTTGCCCAGGCTAGAGTGAGTGCCGTGGCGTCAGTCTAGCTCACAGCAACCTCAAACTCCTGGGCTCAAGCAATCCTCCTGCCTCAGCCTCCCGAGTAGCTGGGACTACAGGCATGCACCACCATGCCTGGCTAATTTTTTCTATATATGTTAGTTGCCCAATTGATGTCTTTCTATTTATAGTAGAGATGGGGTCTGGCTCTTGCTCAGGCTGGATTTGAACTACTGACCTCGAGCAATCTGCCCGCCTCGGCCTCCCAGAGTGCAGGGATTACAGGCGTGAGCCACTGCGCCCGGCCTCCACCCTCAGTTTGGATAATTCACTAGCTAGAACAACTCAAGAACCTAACAGAAAGCTGTTATACTCATGATATGGTTTATTACAGAGAAAAGAAACAAATTAAGATCAGCCAAGGGCAGAGATGTGGGAAGGGGTCCTTCGCTCAGAGCTGCTGCTGTCCTCTCTGCATTTATCGTGGGCAGCGAGACTCCTCCCAGCCGCGGTGTGATAATGCAGGGGGTATCTCCAACTGGGGAAGCCCTCGGCCTCCAGCCCCTCCTGGAGGTTGGACTGGTACCTTCAGTCTTCAGTCCGTTCCAGAGGCAGAACTGACACCAGGGTAGCCAGTAGCCCAAATCCCCCATCAGATTCACCTGTTAGACGCTGGTGGCCAAAGCCTCCAGGCAAAGGCATTCCCATCAGGCAGGGCCTTCCAGGGGCTGGAAACCACCGCAGCAGCCCAGAGCAAAGGCCAGACCTCTCTTCTGGTAAAGTACATTCTTCGCTGCACACTGGCTCATTCCATTCCAAGTTTAAAATTACAAAGAAACGGAAACTAATTGGTCCAGTTTATCACTTAGTCCAGCAAAGTCATTTAGTTCAAACATGGCCAGTAGAGACAGAACTTGCAAATGAGTCTATTTTTTATATACACAATCCTTTCCCCATCTGTTTAGAGAAGCTCCTGTCTGAACTAACCTCCTGTGCACCCCTCGCCTCACTCCCCAGAGGACATAAACCCAAGTGAAACGCAGTAGCTGCCGGTGAAAGTCACTCACGGAGCCGTATTCCCCAAGGCCAGACTCCAGAGCAGACCCACGCTGCCCTAGGTCCGCAGAGATCCCGTGTCGGTGTTCTGCTCCTTAGAGACATTGGTGTTGACAACATCACATCTGATATTAAGGAGAAGAAAAAAAAAGGACAATTTATGATAATGTCTGTTAAAAAGGGAGGCTAGCAATTAGCTCACACTGGCACCAAGCAATAAAATACAGATGGAAGCACCTCATTTATTTTTCCATGACATTATTCACAGTGGCCAAAAGGTGGAACAGCCCAAGTGTCCCTCAAAGGATGAATGGACAAACAAAATGTGGGATATCCATGCAATTGAATATTATTCATCCTTAAAAAGGAAGGAAATTCTGACACATGCTACAAGGTGGATGAACCTTGAAGGCATTATGCTAAGTCAAATAAGCCAGACAACAAAAAGACAAATATTTTATGATTCCACTTAGATGGGAATACCTGGAGTAGTCAAATCCATAGAGAACAGGAAGTAGAATGGTGGTTGCCAGGGGCTGGGGAGAGGGGGTAATAGGAAGTTATTGTTTAATTGGAACAGAGTTTCAGTTTGGAAAGATGAAAAGTTCTGGAGACAGATGGTGGTGATGGTTGCACAACAAAGTGAGTGTACTTAATGCCATTGAACTGTACACTTAGGAATGATCAAAATGGGACTGGGCATGATGGCTCATGCCTGTAATCCCAGCACTTCAGGAAGCTGAGGCATTGCTTCACTTGAGACCAGGAGATTGAGACCATAACTGGGAAACACAGCAAGACTCCATCTCTGAAAAAAAAAATTTTTTAAGACTTTTTTTGGTTCCGTCTATTGTAAATTGCCTGTTCTTATTTTTTCATGGGAATGAACCCTTTATATATTATAAGATGTTAACCCTTTTTCTTTCATATTTACTTGGAGTCTATCTGTAAATTTGTATCTATTTCCTTTTCTATTTGGAAAATGAGGTTGTTTGGAACTTGGAAAGTTATCATAATCATGTAATCATTTAAAAATCTTCCTTTGGAATTTCTCCCACAACTTTTAAGCTTCTGAAGTGCCCCACCCCTCTCAATGTTTTGATAATATTTTTTCAGCTTTTTCCATGTTTTTAAACATTGAATTCTTCATCAATTGTCACAGAATAATTAATTAAATAATTTTTCTTTCCCATTGAGTTGAAATTGATATGATTATTTGATCACATATTAAAATATAAACATATTAAGTCGAGGTGTTTGGCTTTTTATTCTTTGCCATGATTAAAGTGTCTCATTTTATATCATCACAACCTTATTTAATTATTGTAGCTTTATGTAGCTGTCTTTTGCAAAAGTGACTGCAATACTATTACCCATTTCACATGATCTTCTAGAACCTTAGCATTCCTACAAAAAGATGAAGAAGCTATGTTCCCTCCCCTTCAAACTGGGCAGGCCCTTTTGACAGCCTCAAGAAATATTATGCAGTGGAGGTGACTTGCGTGACTTCTGAGACTAGGCGAGAGAAGGCCGTGAAGCCTCTTCCAGGCTCTCTTGAGACACTGGCCTCTGGAGCCAGGAGACACAGGTAAGAAGCACAGCTGCCCTGAAGCTGCCGTGTTGGAATCACACAGAGGCAGAAGAGGCCTGGGGCCCAGCAAGACCAGCCCTGGCAGTTTGAGCCTTTGAAGTTCAGGCACCTGCCCAGGCTATGGGGGGCAACTCTTCAGCCATTCCAGCCCCAGACCCACCTGACTGCAGCCACACGTGGAACCCCAAGGAAGAACCACCTAGCTGAGCCCAACCACCTCCTAGATTCATGAGACATTAATTATTATTACTTATGCTGCTGAGTTTGGGGAGATTTATTATGCAGCAATCGATCACCAGAACACTTTATAATATGTTTTAGAGCAGTCCTGCTGCTTTTTTTCTCCCCGAAATTGCTATTACTACTTTCATCTATCTGTTCCTCTTATGAATTTTAGATTTATTTGGTCACATTCCTACTTCCTTCCAGTTTCTTTTCTTGGAAGCTATTGTTGGGTCATTAAATATGAAATGTCTGATTTTGAACCAAAAGTTTAGTTTATTATATCTCAAAAGCAAGAATGAGTACCATTAATTAAAGTATGCACCTAAACTATCAACACAGTTTTGCCATCTTCATAGTAGCTTGTTTATGTCAGAGGGGAAGAAGCCTGGAGAGTAAGTGGTAATGAAATCTCAAAAGGCCTTTTCCACAGCTTGTTGAGAAGTGAATATTTTTCCTTGCAAGAAGTGGTCCAAAGCCTGGAAAAGTGGTAGTCAGTTGGTGCAAGGTCTAGTGAATACAGTGGATGACAGAGAATTTCCAAGTCTGGCCTCTGTAGTTTGAGCAGTGTTGTTTGTGTGACATATGGTCCAGTGTTGTCTTGCAGGAGGATTGGCCTGTCTCTACTGACCAATCTCGCTGCTTAATCCCAAGCATTGTCATCATTTCATCTAGTTGGTTGCAGGAGACATCTGCTGTAATTGACTGACCAGGTTTCATAAAGCCATAGTGAATAGCACCAGCCCCGGACCACCAAACAGGCACCATTAGCTTTTTTTTAATGAATATTTGGTTTTGGACTGTGTTTCACCACTTCTTTATCCAACCATTGTGCTGAATGCTTGCAATTGTCAAAAAGAATCCATTTTTCATACACATAACAATATGGTATAGAAATGGTTGGCCTTTATGTCATGACAGCAAAGAAAGGTAAGTTTCAAGATGATTTCTCTTCTGACACTCATTTAATGCATGCAGAACCCATCTATCCAGTTTCTTTACCTTGCCGATATGTTTCCAATGGTCCAATATTGTTGGAATAGTAACATCAAACCTTGCGTGTAGGTTGAGATGGATTCGCTTCCACTACAGCTTTCAGCTCTTCATTATCCACCTTGGTCTCAGGTCAGCCACATGGCTCATTTTCAAGATTAAAATCACCAGAATGGAACTTCTCAAACCATCAACGTACTATGTGTTCATTAGCCACATCCTTCCCAAACACTACTTTGAGCTATGTGAGTTTCATTGGTTCTACAATGGAACTCATATTTGAAAATAACATGAGCTTTTGACTTACCCATGGTTTCACAAAAATTGCTCTAAAAAAATATTTGAAAGATAATCACAAGCCAAAACATGAGTTTGAAAGAATGAGGATGTACCTTCACAATAAAATAAACAAAAAAAAAAACAAAAAAAAAACCAAGAAGTGTCAAAGTGAAATGTCAGAGGTATCAAGTGTCAAACTTAGTACTTGAGGAAATCAGACATTCCACACTTAATAACCTAACATTATAGGCTGGATGCAGTGGATCACGCCTATAATCCTAGCACTCTGGGAGGCCGACGCAGGCCTTTCGTTTGAGCTAAGGAGTTCGAGACCAGCCTGAGCAAGAGCGAGACCCCATCTCTACTAAAAAATAGAAAGAAATTAGCTGGACAACTAAAAACATATAGAAAAAATTAGCCAGGCATAGTGGTGCTTGCCTATAGTCTCAGCTACTCGGAAGGCTGAGGCAGTAGGGCTCAAGAGATTGAGCCCAGGAGTTTGAGGTTGTTATGGGCTAGGCTGACACCATGGCACTCTAGCCTGGGCAACAGAGTGAGACTCTGTCTCAAAAAAACAAAAAAAAAAAACAAAATAACATTATAGATGTAACCATGTATATATAAAGAATTTCATTACTTTTTAAATAGTAGATTTAAAGCTTCTTTGGCTATAGCTATATAGCTTCATAATTATATTTACTTAAATTTTGTCTCTATTATTGTATATCTAAATTATATCATCTTTTTTCACAATTATAAATAATGCTACAACATGTTATAAAAATGTATATTTGTGCAACCCCCAAATTCATATGTTAACACCCTAATGCCCAGTAGAATGGTATTAGGAAGTGGGGCCTTTGGCAGGTATTTAGATCATGAGGGTGGAGCCCTGTGATGGGGTTAGTGCCGTTGTGAGAACAAACCAGAGGGGGGGGCCTCTCCTTACTCCGTGGGAGGACACCGTGAGCAGTCTGTGGTCTGCAGCCGGGAAGAGGGTGCTCACCAGACCCCAAACATGATGGCACTTGATCTCAGACCTCCCGCCACCATAATATTTAATAACCTAAATAATAGTTAATGACCCAAATACTGTAACAAATATCTTTATGCATATAACCTTTTCACATAATGAATTATCTCTCTGGGGTAACTTTTTTGAGGTGAAGATTACTGGATCAGAGAGTAAGAGCACTTTTAAGGGCCTGGTAAATAATGACACACTGCCTTCCAACGTGGTCACGACTATTCACACCGGCCATCTGTCCAGGTAGTCCCCAGCTTCCTCTAGAATTCCCTGCTGTGTTTTGTGTATTTGACTTGGCACACAGCTATATTTTATTATTTTTGTTTGTATTTATTTGTATTTGTTTGTATTTATTTTGTTTGTATTTGTATTTATTATTTTTGTTTGTATTACTTCTTTGATTACTAGTGATGTTGGACATTTTCCTATTTACAAATTGTTCATGTCCTTTATTAAGGTATGTATTAAAGTCGTTTTTTCCTACTAACCTCATGAGCACTTAGATAATTACAGTGAATGCTATGGTGAGCCCCCCAGGACCCCCTTGAAGATGGATGGGGCTCTCATTCCCCCGGCTGCCGGGAGGATGAGCCACTGGCATTTCACAACAGCTTCCCTCTCTTGTGTTTGTCTTCAGGGAAGGGAGCTGCTTTGCCCGAAGTTCTGTGGAGACCAGCCCCCTCGCTTCAATTCGAGACAATTCTGAAAGACTATCTGAGGCCTTGGCCACTCTTGCATCGCAGATCAGCCTCTCCCTCTACCCGGGTCTGGGGGCCTCACTCCCTCACAGCTGCTGTTTCTAGAACCCTCCCAGAGAAACTCCGCGCACGCAAAGCTTCATCTGAGTCAGTTTCCAGGGAACCTGATCCAAGACAATTAATCATTTGTTTCTCGTTACCATGATATATTATTTCCCAACCCCCTTTTCACCTTTTTTGCTTTTCATAAATATTAGATTTCAAAATATCATACAAACATATTTATCTTTTTTCTACATAATTTCTTCTAAATTT